ATTTCGTTTGACTTTATAATGAATTTCCAAACATTATCTGGTTTAAATATAATGTGTTGCTAGCCAATTTTGCTTTATTTTGGATGCATATGAAGACTTTTTGACCTTTCCACATGGCTAGCAATTTGAATCTCATATATATTTAATATAAATGAATTTTTAATGAAACATAATATTATTACCTGATAAAAAATATATTAGAATAATCTTTTTATTCAAATGTGACTTTACTTGCCATTTCTCTTTAAATACCTCTCATCTTCCTCATGAAAGGGTTGCTAAAAGAAAAATCTCCATTAATTCTTCCATTCTTCCTTTCCTCTTTATATGCTAAATCTTGAGAGGAGAAACTTTGTTTCTTATTCCAATTACTCTTTTCATTTGCGAGATTGAAATCCTGGTTGGAAAGCTTCAACACAAAATCGAATAACATCTATTGGAGTTCTTGAGTTTGGTTTCCTTCTCTAAATCTTTACTTGCTATTCTTTTAGCTTTCACCATATATGTTTTTCTTGAAAATATTTATTTTATGGTGAAATACTTGTTGGAAATTTTATATTAAAGTTTTCTATATCATATCTTTTAAATTCATAAAGTTTAGCAAAGTAAGTATTTTTACTTCTTTAAGGCGACATAGATTTACATCTATGATCTAATTCATTTTATTTTATTTGAAGAGTTGAAATTTAAGTAAGCAAGAATATATTTTTATTTAAAAAATATTATTCTTGTTTTAAATAAAATATAAATCTATCTTAAAGTGAGCAAATTTAATATTTAATTTGCAAGTAGTGAGGTGATTAAAATTAATTTGTAAGATCACCTCAAATATTGTGAATATTTTATTGCAAGATAATTTGAGATTGTATTATTTACATCAAATTGTATTTTTCATTTTCTTGATCTAAGCCATTTGGCTTAGTGTGGTTTTAATTGTAATTAGATTGGGTTGTACTTGCCTGTGTAGGAGAGTACTTAGGTCGTAAAGAACTTCTTTGGTTTAAAGAAGTAAGGTTTGCTAAGCAAACCTGAGATTAGTGAATTCTAGCCCAAGAGTTGGCTAGCGTGGACGTAAGTCAGATTTGAATCCGGGCCGAATCACATAAAAATATTGTGCCTCTTATTTTCATTTCTTGCATTTATTTTTCTTTGTCTTTTTCATTAGAAATATTGTGTGACTATTTACTCTTTTCATAATTTCTTTAAAATCATTTTAATTTTCTTCTTTTAATAAAAAATTTAAGAACCCCAATTCACCCCCCCCACTGGGGGTGCTATAGTCATCCAACAAGTGGCCTATTGAGCATTAATGCAGCAACGATAATTGCTAACAAGGAACATCCACCTTGGCATGTTTATATTCATAAGTTCTACCATGTTAGTAAGTATGACTTTTTCTTCTTTTAATTCTATTAATTACCAACTTCATGCTACCTCTTGCTTAGAAAGTTATGATAATTTTAGTTACAAATAAGCTTATAAAGGTATAATTGCAAACTGCCCCACAAGAGTCAATGGTCTACCACTGAAGACAAAGTCCAAATTTGTTTGCCCAAAACTTTGAGACCTAGGGGATGCCCCAAGAAAAGAAGATTCAAAATTTTTTTGGAGACAACCACCAACATAAAAGGAAGTGAACATAAATGCGGGAGGTGTGGCCTATCGGGCCACCACAAAATGACTTGCAAAAATCTAATATAATGACCGACTCCTGGACATATTGATATGAGATTATTATAGCATTTTTTTAGAAAAGAAGTTGCCAACCTTTTTTAGAAATACTAAGCTTCAAATAACCCAAATCAATATGTGAAAACCAAAAGATGGAACAATAATAAGAAGCATCAATCCACTTCAACATTATAAGAATTCTCACAAAAAAATATCAAGACAAATGAATTATAAATAACTCGTATAACAAACTCTTCCAGACATTTTCCAAATAAAAAACATTATAGTTCAACAATGAGCAAAAGAGAGAAAATATAATTATAAATTTCTAAAGTATTTTATACTACAAAATGTAACTAAATCATGCCAACTTCTAAAGCATTTTATACCACCAACTGCAACTAGCCATATCGAGAAAAGAATTAATATACTATGCATGCACGCCCTAACTTATGACTGCTGGAAAATTTTGTTTGTATTGCAAATTGGGTAAGGAATATTAAAAATTTCAAACATTCTCCTTCAGATTTCCTACAAGAAGTGTCAAGTGCTTATTATGATGATCAGTTGAATTAGAAGATTGCTTTCCTTCACCGAACCCTGATTGATATGCTAGTTATATAACTTGAAAAGCTGATTGTATTGCTTATATACATGCAAGAAGTTAACAAGGATAATGCTAATTTCTAAGAAAATAATATTATATAGAGATCATATATTATATCAATACTAATCTAGTGCATTGGAGAGATTTATATGAATGGTTGTAATATGCTAGATATAAGCTAACAACAAAGAAAATACATCTACATGGTTATTATCCAAGTATTTATCTATAACTAGGTTATCAAGATCAGCTCTCATATCATAATATTACCAGAAGTATAAAAAATGTCACCTCTACAAAAAAAAAAAAAAAAAAAAAAAAAAAAAAAAAAA